GTTAAAATTGGTAAGCCCTGAGGCCATGTGGTTAGCCCCTGGGGACTTTTTTTGGGGGGTCAGGGGGAGCAATGTAGGGATCAAACCCAGCACTTGCGCAAATTCTCTACACTGAGCTACAGTCCCAGGCGTTCTGGTGACTTCTTGAACTTGGAACGAAAGAGATGGTAACTACTGAGCATTGGCCCTTAGGTTTGGTACTCTGTAGCAACTTTAGGACAACAGGAAAATCCCACTTAACATTTTATTCCTCACAGTGAATGGGAGCATTTCGTGCGATTTCCCCTTTCTTTTCCTGTTGTGATTCTTTGTAGGAAGGGTTTGTTTGTTTTAATCCTATTGACCAATTTAGAAATTGAAATTAAGTATTAAAAAGAAGAAGTCCTCACCAGATGCCAGTACCTTGAGCTTGGACAATTCAGCCTCCAGATCTGTGAGGACATACATTTATGTTTGTTATAAATTACCTGTTCTCAGGTATTTTGTTATAGCAGCACAAATGAACAAAGACTACATGTAACGTGTTTAATGTTGCCTGTACATACTTTCCTCTTAATAAAATCATGGGTGTTAATGAATACAAGAAGGGTGGGAAATTTTTATTGATTAATGAAGCAAATTTGTCAAGATGTGCTGGGTTGAGAGTGATAGGAGTATGACAGAAGWCATCAAAATAGAAAGTGGGAATTCTGATATGGCTGATTGATTACAGAGGTTAAACTCAGTGCAGAAAAAGTTAGGCAAAAAATGAATAAACAAAAAACAAAGAAAAGAAAAAGAAATAGAATATTTTAAACTTCTCAAAGAATTGCCAAAGAATTCTCCTGACACTGCAACTTGGAAACAGCCACAAAAAATAATCACCATCATAATTTAGTTGACATAATCTTAAATGCTTGTGTAACCTAATCTAATTTTTCCATTTCTTCTGCCATTTGAGATCACATAAATATTTACCTAAATTTTCTCCTAGTGTGTTGTGGGGGAGGAGGTGGGGTGGGAGGGGGAGGAGTACCAGGAGCACTCTACCTCTGAGCTAGGTAGGTCCCCAGCCCTCTTTTTGTTTCTATTGTTTTTTTTTTGTTTTTTTTTTTTTTTTGAGGGAGAGAGAGAGAGAAAGAGAGAGAATTGTTTTCAATATTTATTTTTTAGTTTTCAGTGGACACAACATCTTTATTTTATTTTATGTGGTGCTGAGGATCGAACCCAGCGCCCCGCACATGCCAGGCGAGCAAGCTACCACTTGAGCCACATCCCCAGCCCTTTGTTTCATTATTTTATTTTGCAACAGGGTCCTGCTAAGTTGCCTGGGCTGACCTAAAACTTATGTTCCTCCTGCCTCAGCCTCCAGAGCAGCTGGGATCACAGGTATATACCTGGCACCCAGCTCTCCTAGTTTTAAAATCTTCTAATGTAGTTGGAATTTCTTCCAGCACATGAGGAAAGGTAAGATGTTAACCTGATTATTCTTTCAAATTGATGGTTTTCTAAACCTCACTTATTGACAGAGCCCTGGCTCTGCCTGTACCAGCTCCGAGGAAAGGCCACCTGATTGTAATTCCCACAAAGATTTGATGTGGGCTACCAGATTTGATGTGGGCTTCCCCTTTTCATTTATTTTTAACAACTCCTCTATCATATCTTAAAGTATACAACCCATTTTCTGGGTTAAATATTGTTCTCTTAACTTAATTTTCATCAGGATATCCTTATACTATGTTTTAATAATAAATAGRGCAATTTCCCATATTTTCCTTATTTTCTTAACTCTTCTCAGCTATTATTTGTTCAGGCAAATTTTAAAGGAATTTCACTTTAACCTCACAGAGTGTTGACAGCCTTATTACACAGGTGAGGAACTGAGACTCAAAAAGGATAAATATCTTAAGGTAACATCTCGCTCAGGTAGAAAAAGCAGAAATCAAAATTATGTCTTTTACATCCCCCCTACTTTAGCTCTAAATGCTATAAATTTTTAGTAAAATTTCTTCATGAAATTTACTTACTAGCCACTTTCCCTATCTTGTTTGCAACCCTATAATGGCCATCACAGAAACTGCAGTTTCTGAAGTCAATTTTATACAGTAATTATTACAGTCACCCACTGCTTAATGAGAAGTGCCACTTAACAACAGGGTACATCCTTAGAGATGAGTTATTAAGCGATTTTGTCACTGTGGGAACATCATTGAGCATAGTTACACAAACTAGAGTGTCTATGTCTTCACTGGTCCATACAATCTTATGAGACCCCTGACGTCTATGTGTTCCATTATCGACCGATACATCGAAATGTGGCATGTGACTCTACTACCTTATAAAGTGAAAACATGTTTACCTGAAGTTTTTAGTTTACTTTAAAATTTTTAACTTATACAAAGTTCAAAAGAATAATTGTTTAATATTGGGGGCTCACATATTGTGGTTGTCAGCTTTCCATGACAGTACCAAAATACCTGAGATAATCCACTTAATAAGGGAAAAGGTTGATTTTGGCTCACAGTTATGGAGATTGCAGTCCAGGGTGGGTTGGTCCAATTGCTTTTGGGCTTGTGGTAAGGCAGTGCATCATGGTGGGAGCACATAATAGCTGGAAAGCAAAGAAAGAAAGTAAGAAGAGGTGGCATCCAATCCCCTTCAAGGACACACCCCCTATGACCTAACTTCTATAAGACCCCGCCTCTTAAAGATCCCTCCACCTCCTAATAGCATCACAGCCAGGGACCAAATCTTTAACACATGTGCATTTGGAACACACCCCAGATCCAAACTAGTCTGTATCATCAGTATTTTCTTAGCAAAGACCAACTTCAGAAGACATTTATTTACAAGTCAAGAGGCTGGGTGTGTAGCTCAGGGGAAGAGCACATACCTAGCATGCTTGAGGCCTTGGGTTGTATCCCCAGCACCAGAAAAAATGTCAATTTGGAGTGACAATTTGGATTATTGTGATTACATCATGAGTTTTAAGGCACTAATAATACCATATTCAAGACCCTCCAGAGGTTTCTCTTTTCATTTTTTTCTTCCTGGATGTACTTTTATGAATAACTGTCTTTAAATTCCCCTCTAAACCTTTATTTTCTTCTTATGTCACTGTGTCTTTTCTCACCTTGTAGTCCCTGGAGATGTGTGTTCAATTGGCACACAGATGGCTTCCCAGGGGGTGCACAGGGACCAGAAGCCAGCCTATGCACAGCAGTTARGCTGGGGCCCTGGCTCTGCCTGTACCAGCTCAGAGGAAAGGCCACCTGATTGTAATTCCCACAAAGATTTGATGTGGGCTACCAGGGGTGGCCTCATTTCCCCTAATGCCTTTTGGTTGAAACTTTATTTTCAGACTCATTTTCTTCCCTATTCATTTCCTGCCACTTTTTTTTTTTTTTTTGGTGTGTGTGTGTGTATGTGTGTTTCCTTTTCCTTTTCTCCTTCATCCATCCTAATCTCATCATCCTTCAGTTTCTTCTTTCTTACTTCTTCTGCACCTACAAAAAAAGATACACCATAAAAGCTTAATCAAATAAAAAGAACAATAGTAAAAATGCATGTATCAAAATGCCTCTTTTTTTCTCCATCTGAATTCCTTGAATACAAATGTTACCCATATTACTTCTCATCCCTAGATGTTGTATATTATTTACACTTTAATAACTCACTTCATCAGAAATGCTTCCAGACTTAACACAACACGGGTCAAAAATTTAAGAGGTGGGGGGGAAACATAAACAGAAAGCTTAGGTCTAGTATTCAGCAAGGATTAGGGACTGTTGGAATTGATTCTCTCCTGGATTTGGTTCAGAAAGAGGGGGATAATAATACTCACCTAATTAACTAGCATGTAGGGTAAAGTGCTTTGTAAACATTAATTAAAGATGCAGGGAGTTAGGTGTGGCCAATATGTTATTAGAGAATAAGTTTTCTTCCCTTTAATCAGGTATCTCTTCCTGGAGAGGGCAAAGAAATGATCTAAGGACTAAGGAATTGGGGCTCAGCCCTGAGTGCTACCAGTGACTCAGTCTTCTGGGTAGCTAGTCACTTCCTTTCTTGCTTTCTGTGAAAAGGGGATAAACACAAACATTTTTGGAATCAAGGTTGTTACAATGTTTGCCACGAGTATACAGCAAAGCCTACAATTGATAAAATYCCTTAACTCTTGCTCTCTTTGTCCCCAGCAAGTTGTTCCATCTATGGAAACACTGGTAACATTAACTTCCAATCCAAAGCCTTCCACAACCAGCTATTAACCTCAGTAGATGTTTCCAATGTTGGAGGAAGAAGAAAACAGCAAGAAGCAGTGGGGTTGAAAACTCTTGGAGGAACTCTACTGTCATGTGTATCTAAAGAGAGAGGGGAAAAAGAAATCTCTTCGGGGAGCCCTCTGAACCTCAATAAAAATACAACAATTACAAAAGAGCTATAAGAAAGAATATTGAATGTTTGCAACATAAAGAAATGACAAACATTTTAAAGAGATATATATGCTTAGCCTGATCTGAACACTACACAATGTACATGTGTCACAACATCACAAGGACACCCCACATATGTGTACAATTTAATGTGTCAATTAAAAAAAAAAAAGAAATGATCTCTTAAAACCCACAGTTTAAGACTTAAGTAAAATCATATATGAATGTTATGTATGCCTTTTCCTAGGGTATAAGTATTCAATAAATTGTAGTTATTGTTATTAAATAAAAATAAGTTCTCAAGGCTGCTGATGGGCTGGTGGTTGGGGAGGAAGAAGTTCCTTCTCATTCAGAGTTTCAAACACAAATCCGCGTGGATAACTCCAAGATGGGAGTTGGTGATTTTCCCCAATTCAAACCTCACTGCCAGAAGGAAGACCCCTGAGAGGAGGCCACAGGGTCGGCTACGCACCGGGCCTGTCTCTTTAAATGCCGCGGGCGCGCGCAGCCTGTGTCGGGGGACCAGCGTCCCGGCGCGGGAGCGCGCGGCGCGGCGGGGCGGGGACGGGAGCGCGCGCGGCGCGGCGCGGCGACTGGACGGTCGGCGAGGTGCGCGGGCGTGTTGGCTGACGGGCTGCGCAGGGCACAGGGTCGCGGTCCGCGTGGGCACCTGCCGTCCCCGCGGAGGGGACTCCCGCCAGGTGAGTGCCACACCTCGGACCCGGGACAGGTTCTGCGCGGCTGGAGGCGCCTGGCCGCGGTGTCCCTTCCCGGGCGCCCGGGACGGCGGCAGCGAGTGCGGTCGGGGCCGTGCGGGTCTCCTGGGCGGGTCGCTCTCCCCGGGAAGCTGGGCGCGCCTGCGGGGCTCCGGCGTCGGGGCGCCTGGGGGGAGTCGTGAGGTGCCCCGGCCCGGGGCCGCCAGCGGGGCGCGGTGGTCGGTGGCACCTCGTCGCCTTTGCGCGGAGCGTCCCTGGCTGTCCCCAGCCCGCGCCGTCCTCCCCGAGCCTGCGAACGAGGGGCGCCGGCTCCCACCTCCCGGGACCGGGGTCCGCGCGCTGCGGGGCGGCAGTGCGGTGCGACCCGGCGGGCGGCGGCCGGAGCCACCTGTTCAGCCGAGTTCCTGCGCGGAACCGTCAGTAGGTTTCCGTCCCCCCGGCCCCCAGCAGGTAACCGAATCACGCGGGAATGTGTAGGATCTGCCCCGGGAACCAGGGCGGGAGGGATTAAGAAAAGAAAATGTGGCTGATGAACAAAAGGCAATAAAATGAACTCCAGCGTTGCCCCAAGGCTGTGAAAGTTTCCCAGTATTGTTTTACCGAGTCTAAATTTAAGCATCCAGCTCCCCCCTCCCCTTAACCGCAGGAACTAACCTCAGAAAACTTTTAACTCTTTGCCCACACCTAGTTGGTGCAAAGCACAAAACCTGAAGCGAGTAAAGGCAAGTGATTTTGTGTGTCTCCCCCAAGAATAGAACGCTGAAGTATTTTGCTGGAGACCTTCAGAAGAAGATTCCTCCGGGCTCCAATTTTAATGGAGAACAAATTTTTTCAAACTTTATTTCTGAAAGGTAGAAAAACACCAAACCAAGCCTGTGTCATCTTGAGGAAAATGTTCACAGGAGAAACCTTTTTGAAAAATACTTTTTGACTATTTTTTTTAAGCACTTATACCTAATGCTCTCATCTGCACTAAAACTTTGCCCTCAAAGTTCCATGTCTGACTGTTACAGATTGTTTTTCTAGGTGGAGGAGGTATTTTCGATCATGCAGCCAATGTGGAAATATAAACAAATGCTCTATTTACTTGGGATTGGGTGGGAAGGATGGAAGTTGTCTAAAATCTTTCTTGCCAAACTTGACAGTGTGTGTATGGAATCTTGTATATTTTCTTGCACAGACGTAATAACCATTTTTAAGCGACTGGATATATTTTTTGGTCACTTCAAATAAGCTTCTCTTTGAAAGTTTTGGATGCTGGTGATTTAAAAAGAACACCTTTTCTTCATTATTAGACATCAGAAATTTAAAGAGTGACAAATGAGAGGAAGCTAGGAGGAGGAGTAATGTTTTTAAGAAATTCTGAGTGTGTGTGACTTGGCAGCTCCTTTGTTGCAGAAGGTGTTTATTTGCCTGTTTAAGTGGGGGTTTGCATGTTCATTAATCTATTCCCACCCTGCTGAGCCCTGTCATTGGACATAAAAACATTTCTAGATAACAGATCAAGTAAGTCTTCCGAAGAGACACCTGGCCCTGGTTCCAAAGTTCTCAGACACCTAAGGAGCCTATAGCTGGCACCCTGTGTTCATTCTGAAGATCAGCTCAGATAACTACAAGAGGTGAAGTGGGGCCTTGAAGCCTGAGGGGGTAGAAGTGAAAGGCTTGGGTGGAGTAGAGCTAAGCACAGGGAATCCTCTGGGAAAAAGAAAAAGTCCAAGTGCCTCTTATCTGTGTTGTTGTGGGACAGCCGCCAGTGACATAGAGGCCCTTTCTGTAGGTGCCAGGGGGAATCCTAGGAGCATCCAGAACTTGAGCTCTTTGCTTTGATGGTGAAGGGCAGTGTTTTGTTGCAGTTTCCATTGCCCTTTCTGGTGGCTTCCTCTCTGCCTGTGTGCCTTAGGAGGACAGGCTTGGCTCTGTCCCTGATAGACAGCCGCATTCCCCTCTGAACTGCAGGAAAGCCTGGTTCACGCTGAGTCTGGCCTGTGGTGTCAATATAGTGGCATTGCTGATAATAGCCTGTCTGTGAAGCTGTATCTGTCACTAATGCCTGCATCCCCCTTCTAAAGTTACAGCATTAATCTTGAAATTTAAGAGTATTTTAAGAAGTTCTGTGCGGTCAGAATGAGTGGCAGAGAAATGTGCAGGGCATAACATCCTGCCTTATTTGAAAGGGATCTGCTAGCTGTGCACAAATGCAGATCYTCATACTAGATATTCTCAAGGCCTCTTTGCCACTGTGAAGACTTGATTCTCATTTTTATTGTAATAAAAGATATAACATTGGATTTGCCATTTTGAAGTGCACAGAGCGGTGTCAGTAAGTACATTTGCAGTGTTATGCAATCATCACACCTGTCTAGTTCCAGCACTTTTTCATCACCTGGGAAGGAAATGCATATGCATTAAAGCAGTCACTCCCCATTCCCTCACTGYCCCAGCCCCTGGAAACCACTAATTTGCTTTCTGCTTCTGTGAATTTGCCAATTCTGGACACATATATAAATGGAATCTTAAAATCTGTGTCCTTTCTTCTCTGGTTTCTTCATTTGGGGTGATGTTGGCAGGATTCATCCCTAATGTACCACATATCAGTTCTTGGTTCCCTTTTGCGGTTGCATCTTTTTACACTGTGTGTATCTGTAGCATTTTGTTTATTCATCAGTTGACCAACATTGGGTTGTTTCCACCCCTGGCTACTGTGAGCAGTACTGCTGCCAACAGTCCTGTGCACGTTTTCATTGTAACACCTCTTTTTGGTCTTTCGGGTCTATTCCTGAGTCAAAGTCCTGGATCAGACAGTCATCATGCCTAACTTGTTGAGGAACTCTCAGGGCAGCTTTTAACCGTTTTATCTTTCCACCAGCAGTGAAGGAGGTTCCAGTTTCTCCACATCCGTTACTTTCTGTTTGTTGCTGTTTTAATTCTGGCCATCCTAGTGGATGTGCAGAGGACTCTTGTTGTGCTTTGGATTTGCCTTTCCCTGATAACTAATAACCCTCCGCATCATTTCACAAGCCTGATGGGCTTTCGCAGTTGTCCCCCTTCCTCACCTGCAGGTTGCTTTCCTTAATATCATATACCTGCGGTCATCCATGGTCTGAAAATGTTACTATGATGCCACAAGGAACAGATATTTTGAAAGAGAAGCACATTCACATAGCTTTTGTTACAGTATAGTGTTATAATTGTTCTGTTTTATTAGTTATTGCTAATCTCTTACTATGCCTGATTTATAAATCTAACATAATATAATTAGTATTACATATGTATGGGGGGAAATACTGTATGTGAGGTTTGGTGCAACCCACGGTTTAATACATCTGCTGGGTCTTGGGAAGAATCCCTGCAAATAAGGGGAGAGACTACTGTATGCCTCTTCAGGAAAATGTCTTAAGGACTTGATTCTCTTTTGCATTTGATTTCACATCACCAAAATCTTGCATGTGAGTAAATGTAGGGTCTGGTCAGTAGATTATGTTCCTTCTCAGCCCTTTGTTATTTTGTGGGGTTTTCTGCTTTCTCCTTCAGGCTGCTACTTCCACTAGTTGTCTGGCTAGTGCTTTGAAATATTTTAATATTCTGCTTATTTTAGTTATCTAGAGGCCTGGGTATTCATCATTTTATTCAGCAATATTCATAAACTATTTGACTACCTACCATGTGTTGAGCCCTGAGGTGATGGTTGGGTGTACAAATAGATATGTACAGATTACTTTTTTATTTTTAAAAATTGACAGGTTGTCAATAAAAAAAAATTTAACTGACCGATTAATGGAGCATAGGAAAAAAGAACTAGGTTCCACTGGAAATGAGGGGATCCACTTCAGGTTTTATCATCAGATAACTGTGTGACCTTAAAGTTCATCACTTGATCCTTCTAGAACTTGGTTTCCTGGTCTGTAAAATTTGGAGTAGAACTGAAAGACTCTCAGGCTTTTATCAGACCTTGAAACTGGAGATGCTTTTTTTTTTTTTTTTTTTTTTTTTTTTTTTTTTTTTTTTTTTTTTTTTTTGGTACTGGGAATTGAACTTAAGGGCACTGGACCACTGGGTCACATCCTATTTTGTATTTTATTTAGAGACAGTCTCACTGAGTTGCTTAGTGCCTCACTTTTGCTTAGTCTGGCTTTGAACTTGAGATCTTCCTGCCTCAGCCTCCCAAGCCACTGGAAACTGGAGATTCTAAATTAGTGATTCAGTCAGTTGCAGTGGCTCACACCTATAATCTTAGCAGCTCAGGAGGCTGAGGCAGGAGGATCAGTAGTTTGAGGCCAGCCTGGACAACTTAGGGAAAAATTCAGAGGGCTTGAAGAGTAAGGTAATGGTTTATGTTCCTGTCATTCTAGGCACAACTAGAGATAGAGAGGGGAATAAGACATGGGCTCGTCTGCCCTCAGGAAGCTTGTGATCTGTTAGAGGAGTTAAGGTATGAATTGGTAGCAAAAAGGTCCAGGCTTTTTGGAACAGAGAGGAGAGATGTGGGAACAACTCCTGAAGACAGTGACATTAGAGCTGGGCCAACAGAGAGGATAGTGGGAAACAAGACTAACAGGTAAGGCTGTGACTTTGATTGTCCTGCTGAGAGTTTAGCCTCTGCTTTGGGGCACCAGCCACTGACGGCTCAGGAGTAGGGCCGAGATAGCCACATTGTCTTCTGGCTTCCCTGTAGAGCAGGCTTTTGCACACTGAGAAAATAACTTTAAGTTGTACAGAATGTTCAGGAGTGAGGAAGAGAGGATGGAAATATGAAGACATAAAGACGAGATGCTACCAACAAAGGAAGACACCTGAGGACCTCAGATGACAAATAGAATTCTTGGAGCAGAAAAAGCTTTGTGGGTCTCAGTGAATCATCCTAAAGGCTTCATCCCTATTCCTTCATGTGATGAAGATAACTGACCTCCATCTCTTCTAGATAACAGTGAAGCTGTTGGTGAGCTCCTGCTAGTGCAGGCAACTCCTCTGCATAATCAGATGTCTTT